GATCAGATGAGGGGTTGGTTTATTATCTGTTTCGAAAATGGAGTTGATTTTATGGTAAGGTGAAGATATTTGTGTTGTAACGCATCCTATTTGGGTTAGAACACTTGCTTCTGATAGAAAAAGTTATGACGGGTTTTAGGAGACCGAACATCCCCAAGATGATTAAATATTAAATAACTGTTATGTTGATATTGTCAGCAAAACATTTTACTGGTTTTAGTTATATCCCCAAAGATTATTTCCAATTGGGTTTTAATGTTTGTCTATCAACTTAGGAATAGACGAAATGCTTCCTTGATCGATGATCATGGAATTTCGAGATTCTTCAAAGCTTGAATCATCAAATTTTCCGGAAGATTCTTGTAGGAACTTGATATCTATTTATACCTGTAATATTTTTAATTGGACATTATGTTGTTTTCTTGACCTAGGACATGGAACTCTGACGATGCTTCTTAAAGCGCAATTCTTTTTTTGAGGATTCTTTTGGATTGAGTATTAATGTTCAAAGAAGATTTGTGGTAGGATCCTTTGTTTCCTTGTCACTTTTTGTCAGAAAGTTACAAACAACAAAGCTGATTCTCATTTTTTTTTTTTTCGTTTCTTTGGCCCAAGGCCATGGGTCAAAGAACGATTCTTCTATAGATTCCTTTACATTCTTGATGTTCATGCATTTGTAATAGCATTTTCTATTTCCTTGTCCAAGTCATGGAACTCCAAACTGCTTTAGAGCATAACCTACTCTCATTTTTTAGGAGTTTTAAAAATAAGATTTTTTCTGGAGACTCGTTTATATCCTTGATGTTCAAGTATGTCTTTTTAATAATAGCTGTTTGAGGACACCATTCATTTTCATTTATGGTTAAAGCTTTGATGCACAAGGATTTTTATGATAAGAGAGTTGTTGTTTTGCTGACCTACAGCTTTAGAAGTCTAAGAACATCTAAAGTATTGTTCCCATTTTCTAAGAAACTTCATTTAGATCTTTGATGCCAATTCCAAGAGGATATCCTGGTATTTAACGTAAGGTCATGAAACCCTCCCAAGATCTTCAAAGTGCTAAACTGCAGGAGTTTCACTCCTGGGATCCTTGCCTTAAAAGTGTTTACAATAATAAGATCGTGGAACCCCCAGAATCTGTATAAAGCGCTGTCTATCCGGAAGATGTAGGTAGATCTAGCACAACGTAACGTGGGACTTCTGTTTTTGATTACACGAAAATCACGGAACTCCAGGATGTTTCAAGGATCAAGACCAACGTCTCGCCCGTTTTCCATGAGATTTGATACACTTTTAGATGCTTAATGTACAAGAAGAGTACTTTCATGTTATAGTAGAGAAAGTCAGAAGTTGTTGAAAAGGAATACATGTTGGACATTAATCTAATTAGACACTTCAAAAAGATAGCGTTGGCATTCATCATATATATGTAGACAGTCACGCACCTACGTTCGTTTCCTGTTCAACTTAAACTATCGAAAATAGATTTTTCCGATTTTTGAACCACTCGACATTATTACATGTAGTAAGGCACACGCACACGGTTATTTTTGGTTTCGGCCACCAACCAATGGCCGAAAACAAAACGAGTGTGGCAATGACATGAGGAGAAACCCTCGCGCGACCGTCGATTTTATTATTAATTTCCGGTCCTTGGCGGAAGCTCCGCACCGTTTCTTTCTATAGAACGACGTCCACGTGGTCTCCAAATCGTCGTCGCTTACTTGATCGAGTGGCGTTATTATTAAAAAGTTGGCTCGCAACGACAGCAGCGACTTTTAAATGGTTTTAATTTTTTGTCACCGTACAAGAACCGGAAGTCGTATATGTGTAGTGTTGGGTAGTGGGTATAAGTATAGGTCGAGGTTGAGGAAATGAAGGAAATAACGGATATCGAAACGTAACCACAACGACATAACGTTACCCATAAATCCCAGAGAATGTTATTTAAAAATAATCAATAGGATTCCTAATAAGTTGAAAATGATTCATTAACGGTGGTTTTTTGCTACCTATGTAAATTCCTAATATTAACAAGTTTAAAATAATTCGAAGTGGTCTTATTCTGTCATAACTGTCAGACGAGGATCGCGACTTCGATCTTTTTGGTTCTCATCAGCGCGTCGCAGGCAGCCCGACAGAACACAGACCGACTGCTGTCTTAACAGTGCGTTTCAGAAAATACTACAAACGGCGCAGTAAACGCCATCTGTAGCACGATGCTACATTTTAGGATTACGTATACTCCAACAAGGTCCACTTGTGTGGATATCTATCTACTTGATGAAAACGAACAAGTTTGTTAGAATATTACCATTTCGTTGTGTGCGTTCTCAGGGCAATGTAAAACACCCCCCGATCTATTTGTGTGCGTATTTTTACCTATATGTTAGTGCCCTTGCCGGTAGTATCTGTGTGTATTAATTTTGCCAGCGTAGCGTTCGAGTGTTTTTAATCGGAACTCGTCAAGCGAAAAAGAGCGTGAAGGGGTGGCATTACGAACAATTAAGCATTACGGAGGTAGTCAGTCAGTCAGTACGGTGCTGTGACGCCGATGACGATGTGATGTGTGTCACCCGACGACAACGACTACGACTACGACCGTCTATATTTGTGTTGGAAAATTGTAGGTTGTCAGTCGTTTATTGACTTGCCGAAAATAGTTCACAATTCTGTCTGTCACTTTCGGTTTATTATAGATTAAGTACAGGTATAGGACTTCGTCCTTCACTGGTGACGTATTATAAAAATGGGGTAGTGCCTGCTTGCCCATCATAAAAGATTACCGACGAAAGGATTATAAGGATAGCGAGTACGACTACCTAACTTATAATTTTATGAAATTTAATATTTTAGATGGCTTGACAAACACTGCCCTTGTAATTTTAAATTTGCCAGGGGGCATCACATCTAGTAAGGCCGGAGCACCGCCTGATTCTTTAGTCCTGCCTAATAAAGACGTTCTGTAACCTTTTCCGCTACCAAAAAAAAAAGAAAGAAATGTGCCCAGTACTAAGTTAATTACGCTCCTTTATATTATTTATATCACTGCTGTGAATCGTCACGCATACAGATATAGCACGAACGAGGGTTGTTTCTATTTCTTTTCTATTAATAAGTAGAATGGACACAAAAAAGTTATACCAGACTAACTAGATCGTACTTCACAAGTTTCCAATGAATAAGTGATTGAATTGAATAAAAAAGTGCGGGAATAGGATCTTTAAATATATTATGTTTCTACTTTAATAAAACCTTTTCTATCAAAACATAATCATAATCCTTTGTGTATAGTAGCCACTTTTCATTTGCCAATCAGGGGAGCTTTTGCTACCTCACCTAACATAAACCCCTGGTGCGCAGATGTTGATCAGAAAAACCTTTCCTATCAGATCATCATCTTAATCCTTGGTGCTTACTTTATTTATGCCAATCAGGGGAATCTTTTTTACCATACCTAACATAAACCCTGGGTGAGTTGGAAATCCTTCCCTTTCAGAGTCCAAATCATACATCTTGGTTCATATTAGTACCTACTTCACCTATGCCAATCAAGGAAACCTTTCCTACTTTACTTTACTCTTGGTGCATTGCAGTTTATGTATGTCGTTACCTAACATAAACCCTTGGAGTGTAGCACTTTACATTCAGGTAAACCTTTCCTATCAAAACCTAAATCTTAACAATTGGCTTTACCTATGCCAGTTAGCGGAACCTTTCCTACCATACTTAACCCTTGGTGCATAGCACTTTATACATGCCGTTACCTAGCATAAGCCCTTGAAGTATAGCACTTACATGTGCCAAGCAAGGAACCTGTTCTACCAGAGCCTAAACCGTAACTTTTGGTTCATATTAGTACCTACTTCATCTATACCAATCATGGGAATCCTTCCTACCTTACTTAACCCTTGCTGTATAACATATATGTCGTTACCTAACGTAAAACCTTGGAGTATAGCACTTACATGTACCAATAAGGAACCTTTTCTACCAGAGCCTAAATCTTAACTACTAGTTCATATTAATACCTTCTTTACCTATGCCAATCAAGGGAACCTTTCCTACTTTACTTAACCCTTGATGCATAGCAGTTTATATATGTTGTTACCTAACATAAACCCTTGGAGTATAGCACTTTCATGTGTCAATCAGGGAACCTTTTCTAACAGAGCCTAAATCTTAACATTTGGTTCATATTAGTACCTACTTCACCTATGCCAATCAAGGGAACCTTTCCTACTTTACTTAACCCTTGATGCACAGCACTTTATATATGTCGTCACTTAACATAAACCCTTGGAGTGTAGTACATAGATGTGCCAAGCAGGGAACCTTTTCTACCAGAGCCTAAACCTTAACTTTTGGTTCATATTAGTACTTCACCTATGCCAATCAGGGGAACCTTTCCTACCTTACTTAACCCTTGGTACATAGCACTTTATATATGTCGTTACCTAACATAAACCCTTGGAGTATAGAACTTACATGTGCCAAGCAGGGAACCTTTTCTACCAGAGCCTAAATCTTAACATTTGGTTCATATTAGTACCTACTTCACCTATGCCAATCAAGGGAACCTTTCCTACTTTACTTAACCCTTGGCGCACAGCACTTTATATATGTCGTTACCTAACAAACCATTGAAATGTAGCACTTTACATTTAGGCAAACCTTTCCTACCAGAACCTAAATGTTAGCCATTGTGTTTACCTATGCCATTATGGAATACATATACGAATTCGAGAAGTCTTTCCCTAACGTAATCTGGTTTCACTCAATGGTTTTGTCGGCGGGGCGCTTGGCCAATCTACAACCACCCTAATCGTCCTATTTCATACCTAATTAAACCCTAGGGTCAAATATTGACATTTACATGCGCTTCACTCGTCAAAACAGCAGCAGGTGCGTTAATTAGTTCTATCCGTTTTACAAGAACGATAACATATGTAGAGAGAAAAGTAAAAATTGCTATCTATAGGTAATTTTGTTTGACTTACCCTTTCGCACAGGATGTCCGCATATCGTATGAACAGTGTTTGATTTTTCGGGCGTTGCTCTCTGTTTGGTCCTTTCCCAAGACCAAAACTCTGCACCTATAAATAGACAAAGAAAAACATAAAATGTTAGTCTGGATTTTTTCCTGTCTTTCAACGAGTTGTTTTTTGTGCACTAATCTTACGGTGGTTATTGTTTTGAAAACTTTGTACAATTCCAACTTATAGTTTAGATTTTTATAAATTCTCTACACAAGAAAGATAAAGAAGGTAAGCTAATTGGTCCTTGTATATCTTAGTACTTACAAACAATAAATTATAAAAATATGTAATACTCCAGTATCTCCCTTCGGGACTCTGTAACTATTTTGGAAGATCCCGTTCTACGATACTGGGAAAACATAGACACAGTTTTAGCTTCAATTCGATTACAAACACGTTTTTCGTTGTAATTTGGAGCTAAATGTTAACACAAAAAGCGGCGCCTTTGAATAATTTGTATCTAATGTCGTTAACAAAAAAAATGTGACGCATCGTTGCCTCTATTAAAAAACTGCCACGCGGTTTTTAAATCAGTTTAAAACAATCGAATTTTGTGGTTAATTTTTTGGAAACTGCGCAGTTGGCTTTGCTAATTGCGCCGTAGATTATGTGTTGCGGTCGGCCATCTTAGGTGGTCGCGGTCGTTGGGCGGTACGCGGTTCTGGCCAATGCGCTATCGCGCCGTCCCGGTAAGCCGCGATCCGCGACAACGTGTGCTGTTTGTTTACAGTCGCGTGCGCAGGCGCGCGCATCGCCTACTTAGCCGATAAGGCAATAATAATAAGTAAAAAAGTGCATTGCGCACCTCCAGGCATGTAACCTAGGCAACGTTGCACGAAAACACGTGTACCGTCGTTTACAACATTGCTGCACATGTTTGTTTATTTACGTTTGCATTTTAATTATTATTGCTTTCAATTGATAAGCCTCACTATGAGGGCGATTCAATGAATATTTTGACTAAAGCCCCCACTCTCCTACAAAATACTTACATTAAAATTAATAGATAGTTTGTTTTGTTCTAGACAAATGGTTCCTAGGGTTCTTGTCGACATTTTCCGGACCTGTTCACCGGACGTCATCTCTAAAGATCTACCTCAGATTATGGAGTATTTCACAAAGTTGGCCGAACAAGATGAGGGTGAGTGTTTGTTTTTTATTTTTATTACCAGGCTGCCCCCAGTAGAAAAGTGAAAGTTTCGATAGGTACAAAATAGTTCAACGATTTTCGGCCGTCGTTTTACAATTTCGATTAATGCCTTGTAGCTTTTTTATCGTTTTTCTCCCTCTCCGTTAAAGGAACAACCCCTTTCTATAGCCTACTGGTGCGAGCGGTTAGAATATTTCGGAGACGTGTTAGGAGATGTAGGTAGTACACGAGGACTACCCTTAAAACGGATACAGTAATTTCCGAACTTATTTTTTTTAATGCCTGCCGGTGTATGGGTAGAGGCGCGGGGTGGGGGGTGTAAGCCCAAGCTAATTTTCGATATGGGTTACTCATCGATTTTTAACGACAAAAATAATTAATTTGAGTTTTTGTGCTACGCAAGATGGTTCGATTTTTTTCCGCAGCACTGTAGATATTACTACATAAAGATGAGGGGTGAAGCGCCGCTGAGGGTTGTTGAGGGTGGTAGGGAAGAGAGAGAGAGAGAGAGAAAGAGAGATATGACGATAGCAGCAAGGAGGTCGTCGAGGTCATCTGGTATCGATTGGTACCTTCGGGCTTTTCTCCCGGTAGCGGCCGTCTCTCTTGTTGGTCGTAGATAATGGTGTATTTGAACTCGGGATGAACTTGACACAGAACCTTTTCATTTTTGACTTTAAAAGGTTGACATGAACGTCGACGTAATCACAATCAAGCGCCAGGCGTTTCTTATTTAGTGTAAATACTTGTCAATTTGTTATTTTAATTAAATACCTACAGTCAAGGAGATGAAACGGTACGATCTCCATTGGAAATCGTCCGTGTACGCTACTGGGTTATTTGTTTGATGAATCAAATGGGTTGTAATCTTTAATCATCTCGAACGCGCCTTTTCCTACACCTGGTATGGATTTGTATAATTAAACACTTGGGGTGATAATGGTCTTTCTAAGCAATAGTCTTATTTTTCTCAAGTTAGTACCCATTCGTATAGAATGTTCTTGTTGTGCTACAATTTATGTTTGTTCTATAGTAGATATACAGGTAAGGCAAAACGTTCACCGAACATAGAAGTTACACATTTTTCGTCAACTGATGGAATATTTTTTCAACCGCGTCTATATGAAAATATCTCCTGATTCTCTGAAAATTATCCTCAAAATATTTTGAACNCTTAACCCTTCGTGCATAGCACTTTATACATGCCGTTACCTAGCATAAGCCCTTGAAGTATAGCACTTACATGTGCCAAGCAAGGAACCTGTTCTACCAGAGCCTAAACCGTAACTTTTGGTTCATATTAGTACCTACTTCATCTATACCAATCATGGGAATCCTTCCTACCTTACTTAACCCTTGCTGTATAACATATATGTCGTTACCTAACGTAAAACCTTGGAGTATAGCACTTACATGTACCAATAAGGAACCTTTTCTACCAGAGCCTAAATCTTAACTACTAGTTCATATTAATACCTTCTTTACCTATGCCAATCAAGGGAACCTTTCCTACTTTACTTAACCCTTGATGCATAGCAGTTTATATATGTTGTTACCTAACATAAACCCTTGGAGTATAGCACTTTCATGTGTCAATCAGGGAACCTTTTCTAACAGAGCCTAAATCTTAACATTTGGTTCATATTAGTACCTACTTCACCTATGCCAATCAAGGGAACCTTTCCTACTTTACTTAACCCTTGATGCACAGCACTTTATATATGTCGTCACTTAACATAAACCCTTGGAGTGTAGTACATAGATGTGCCAAGCAGGGAACCTTTTCTACCAGAGCCTAAACCTTAACTTTTGGTTCATATTAGTACTTCACCTATGCCAATCAGGGGAACCTTTCCTACCTTACTTAACCCTTGGTACATAGCACTTTATATATGTCGTTACCTAACATAAACCCTTGGAGTATAGAACTTACATGTGCCAAGCAGGGAACCTTTTCTACCAGAGCCTAAATCTTAACATTTGGTTCATATTAGTACCTACTTCACCTATGCCAATCAAGGGAACCTTTCCTACTTTACTTAACCCTTGGCGCACAGCACTTTATATATGTCGTTACCTAACAAACCATTGAAATGTAGCACTTTACATTTAGGCAAACCTTTCCTACCAGAACCTAAATGTTAGCCATTGTGTTTACCTATGCCATTATGGAATACATATACGAATTCGAGAAGTCTTTCCCTAACGTAATCTGGTTTCACTCAATGGTTTTGTCGGCGGGGCGCTTGGCCAATCTACAACCACCCTAATCGTCCTATTTCATACCTAATTAAACCCTAGGGTCAAATATTGACATTTACATGCGCTTCACTCGTCAAAACAGCAGCAGGTGCGTTAATTAGTTCTATCCGTTTTACAAGAACGATAACATATGTAGAGAGAAAAGTAAAAATTGCTATCTATAGGTAATTTTGTTCCTTTGTACCTACTTCATCTATACCAATCATGGGAATCCTTCCTACCTTACTTAACCCTTGCTGTATAACATATATGTCGTTACCTAACGTAAAACCTTGGAGTATAGCACTTACATGTACCAATAAGGAACCTTTTCTACCAGAGCCTAAATCTTAACTACTAGTTCATATTAATACCTTCTTTACCTATGCCAATCAAGGGAACCTTTCCTACTTTACTTAACCCTTGATGCATAGCAGTTTATATATGTTGTTACCTAACATAAACCCTTGGAGTATAGCACTTTCATGTGTCAATCAGGGAACCTTTTCTAACAGAGCCTAAATCTTAACATTTGGTTCATATTAGTACCTACTTCACCTATGCCAATCAAGGGAACCTTTCCTACTTTACTTAACCCTTGATGCACAGCACTTTATATATGTCGTTACCTAACATAAACCCTTGGAGTGTAGTACATAGATGTGCCAAGCAGGGAACCTTTTCTACCAGAGCCTAAACCTTAACTTTTGGTTCATATTAGTACTTCACCTATGCCAATCAGGGGAACCTTTCCTACCTTACTTAACCCTTGGTACATAGCACTTTATATATGTCGTTACCTAACATAAACCCTTGGAGTATAGAACTTACATGTGCCAAGCAGGGAACCTTTTCTACCAGAGCCTAAATCTTAACATTTGGTTCATATTAGTACCTACTTCACCTATGCCAATCAAGGGAACCTTTCCTACTTTACTTAACCCTTGGCGCACAGCACTTTATATATGTCGTTACCTAACAAACCATTGAAATGTAGCACTTTACATTTAGGCAAACCTTTCCTACCAGAACCTAAATGTTAGCCATTGTGTTTACCTATGCCATTATGGAATACATATACGAATTCGAGAAGTCTTTCCCTAACGTAATCTGGTTTCACTCAATGGTTTTGTCGGCGGGGCGCTTGGCCAATCTACAACCACCCTAATCGTCCTATTTCATACCTAATTAAACCCTAGGGTCAAATATTGACATTTACATGCGCTTCACTCGTCAAAACAGCAGCAGGTGCGTTAATTAGTTCTATCCGTTTTACAAGAACGATAACATATGTAGAGAGAAAAGTAAAAATTGCTATCTATAGGTAATTTTGTTTGACTTACCCTTTCGCACAGGATGTCCGCATATCGTATGAACAGTGTTTGATTTTTCGGGCGTTGCTCTCTGTTTGGTCCTTTCCCAAGACCAAAACTCTGCACCTATAAATAGACAAAGAAAAACATAAAATGTTAGTCTGGATTTTTTCCTGTCTTTCAACGAGTTGTTTTTTGTGCACTAATCTTACGGTGGTTATTGTTTTGAAAACTTTGTACAATTCCAACTTATAGTTTAGATTTTTATAAATTCTCTACACAAGAAAGATAAAGAAGGTAAGCTAATTGGTCCTTGTATATCTTAGTACTTACAAACAATAAATTATAAAAATATGTAATACTCCAGTATCTCCCTTCGGGACTCTGTAACTATTTTGGAAGATCCCGTTCTNAGGCGCGGGGTGGGGGGTGTAAGCCCAAGCTAATTTTCGATATGGGTTACTCATCGATTTTTAACGACAAAAATAATTAATTTGAGTTTTTGTGCTACGCAAGATGGTTCGATTTTTTTCCGCAGCACTGTAGATATTACTACATAAAGATGAGGGGTGAAGCGCCGCTGAGGGTTGTTGAGGGTGGTAGGGAAGAGAGAGAGAGAGAGAGAAAGAGAGATATGACGATAGCAGCAAGGAGGTCGTCGAGGTCATCTGGTATCGATTGGTACCTTCGGGCTTTTCTCCCGGTAGCGGCCGTCTCTCTTGTTGGTCGTAGATAATGGTGTATTTGAACTCGGGATGAACTTGACACAGAACCTTTTCATTTTTGACTTTAAAAGGTTGACATGAACGTCGACGTAATCACAATCAAGCGCCAGGCGTTTCTTATTTAGTGTAAATACTTGTCAATTTGTTATTTTAATTAAATACCTACAGTCAAGGAGATGAAACGGTACGATCTCCATTGGAAATCGTCCGTGTACGCTACTGGGTTATTTGTTTGATGAATCAAATGGGTTGTAATCTTTAATCATCTCGAACGCGCCTTTTCCTACACCTGGTATGGATTTGTATAATTAAACACTTGGGGTGATAATGGTCTTTCTAAGCAATAGTCTTATTTTTCTCAAGTTAGTACCCATTCGTATAGAATGTTCTTGTTGTGCTACAATTTATGTTTGTTCTATAGTAGATATACAGGTAAGGCAAAACGTTCACCGAACATAGAAGTTACACATTTTTCGTCAACTGATGGAATATTTTTTCAACCGCGTCTATATGAAAATATCTCCTGATTCTCTGAAAATTATCCTCAAAATATTTTGAACAAACCCTTTAACTGATTTAATTTAAATTTGATTTAATGGCACCCCACACATAATATACATAAAATTAAAAGAAAAAAAAAGAAACGCTTACGATTAGCTACTATCACATTTTAGTTGTGGAACTGTACATTAGGTAGTGGAAATATGTATATTTATGCAATACCATTATTGTACATATGTATATGTTAGCATGGATGTTTGTACCATTAGTCATCGTATATGTGACAATCATTGTGATTCCCATGATAAATGAAGTGACAACTTATATGTATGTAAGAATAACGTACATACGTACGTAAATGATGTACAGGAACTAGGCTGCACCCGAATTACGTATTATAATGTGATTATATTTGTGGAGATGTGTGTAAAAAATGACACCACTGAATTGGTCGGTCGCGAACTATCATCATAAATAGAAATAATATGCAAGTGTGAGTTGAATAGAGGAGGAGAATCACGATGACCAACGGTTTTTACCAGGAAAACTTGCTGCTTGGATAGTTTTCGAAACGATTACGTTCCTATTTATAAGGGGAAATAACTAAAAGTCATCATGGGGGCGAGGAAAATTCATTTCTCTTTGAATCATACCATTATTTGTAAAGTATCCATTAAAAATAAATATACACTAGTGGCGAGTTGAAAACCGAGCACATGTAATCATCAAAGGGCAAATTTCTATGTTTGGAGACATTCTGCCTTACCTATATATAGATGTATGTATATGGGCAGGGCAAAAATTCACTTTTTCTGTCTTACGATTAGCAGTACTTTGACACCTTTTCTTATACTATTTCTACCTATATTTGTTCTTATTTAATGATAATAGACGATGTATAGGAAATTCTTTATCTATCGATTATATTTTCTGAAATTGTCATAAGTATTTATAACATCCAAACATCGCTAAACAAACATGGGCAATGCGCAATTCTTTAACGGTTTTATGCACGAGTAAATTAATGAAATGCAGTGGCGTTAAAATTTGACGGTGACGTGTGAGGTACATGTACGTAGGTAGTAATATACAGGGTGTGTTAAGAAAAATACCGTTATTTTTGTATCTACTGCAAATTTTAAATTTTAGCCGTTTTTTTAATACGACTACTTCTGTTAATAAATAAATAGTTCTTACACTTATTGCACTTCTTGTACAATAATGCACCACCAAGTACAATGTTTTCGTTAATTTCCCGAACTCGTCTTGGTATTTTGATCAATTTTTCTCCTTTTTTTAAAAAAGGGTGTATGACAACTACACTGTCGTCATTTCTCTCTGACTTACGATGTTACTAACGTGGAAATTTCCGCGAAAGTCTGTGTAATGGTTCGTTATTTTTTTTTCTTTCTCGTTCTCTCTGTTTTGACGTCATCGCTTGTCAATGGCGGCAGATTACGTCAACCTGGGTGTAATAAGAAGTGCGCATTAGTAATAGCCGTACTCTCTCTTTGTCTCTATCTATCGTTCTGTCCCTCTTTGTTGCCGTCGTTGTCGGATAAAATGTTTAGGCAGGGAATGGAATGGAATGGAATGTGACCGCGCGCTAGACTCCACCGTGACGTTGCCATATTTTCACTCGAATTGTTTTGCGATAGCGGTTTTTTAAATTGTTGATAGATGTTTAAATTACAAATTTTTTGAATGAAAATGTATTTAATTTTTTCTTAAGCCAAAAACTTAATATAGGTACAGACCTAATTAGGAACCTTTCCTA